TACGACACAAATCTGGGGTTCTCCAGTTGATGCAGACATCCTTTGCACTGCAAGCCTCTGCGTAAGCTGAGACAGCTGTACAAAAGCCGAGAAACTTTCCCTCAAACTCACAAGAACAGGACTCCAAAACACAGGCCTGGTAATAAGGCTCTGGATCCACCTAGTATTCATAAGACAGCAACAGTTACTGGCTGGTTCAAAATGGGTTCCACCTTTCTTCATGACAAAAAATTTATTATATTAAATATATTGTGTACCTGAACCTACTTCCAAATTCAGAAAGAGTTTGATGAACTTAATGGTCAGAAATGTTTGATATGGAAACAGTGCTTTATTTAGTTAAAGTCAATGAGCCAAGATTAAACATCAGAAATAACTTTATTTAATTAAATAATGGCACTGTAAGGTACCTTCAGATGGCAATCTATAAAGGTGTCTGATCTCAGGATCATACATCGCCGCTGGGCCCAGGCTGCACAGTAGGAGTGTCGTTCACAAGGAAATATTTCATGGGTTACATCTGAGCATGGCGGAGCTGCAGTCTTCCAACTATTCCCAAAGTCCAAAACACTGAAAACTTCTGAGGAGATGCTTGTCAGAAGGTCGTTTGTCACCTTCCCATCAAAGTTCCCACAAAGCCCTAGCACTCGGCCCTAAAGTTCCACAGTTGAAAGAGAACATTTGCATATCTTCACCACTCAGTAGCACGTTTCAGGATCTGTATTCCTTGTTGATCCTGAACCAACATTCTTATCAAACTATCATAGTCCTAACCTTACATGTCCACTCTATCCCTAACCTTGTCCTATTGAGGAGATCAGATAGATATGTTCTTAAAGGGGTAGTTCGCCCAAAAATAAAAATTACCCCATGATTTAATCACCCTCAAGCCCTTACTTTCTTCTTTCAGACGAATACAATCAGAGTTATAATTTAAAAAACAAAACAATCAATCAATTGGTGCAGTGTTCTGTGCTTGTAACCCACTTCACCTGAAGAGTGTAAAATCAAAAGGGCTGCTCGCACTATCAGAAATTTGCTGAAACAAAGCGATCAGGCGTCATTCATTTTCAACGAGAGTTCTGGCAATGTGAGTGACAGAGATCATACATAATGCAGCTGTAGGAAATCAACTTCACAGCTTGTTAGTTTTTGAATCACATCTGATTAGGTCACAATGTGAGGACTGAATATCAATCTTAGACAATAAAACAAATTAAATGTGACTTCTTACTCTCCACTGAGGCTCTAGTTGGATGGTGACCCTGGTATGTTTGTCCCAGATTACAGTGATACCCAGTCCAGGAACTGTGATAATGATGTAGAGGCCCACAGTGTGGATGTCGTACAGGGGCTCTGCCAGCAATGCGTCCTCTGCCTGAAGTCTCTCAGTTACCTTCATATCGCTCAACATCAGAGTCACTGCACCCTGTCAAACATTGAGCAACTATTTATAATTTCATAATTACTGAGTGCACTATAATTTTCACTTGATATAAGGTTGAAATATTGAACACCCAACAACTTTAAAAATTTATATATACATAGATGATCATTTACCAGGAGCTCCACTGAGATGGCACGGGAACATGTCAAAGATTCGTCACAACATGGAACACTCTCAGTTTTAATTGCAAACTGCCCACTTGAAGCAGCATCCTTATACAAGAAATATTAAAGTTGAAAAATGTTTGCCCACTTGTTGAGTGCTTTTGCAACATTTATACATTTTACTAGTATGCTGTTCATTAACTTAAGTCAGGATCTTTCGAGAAAGATCTTTGTGAAACAAGTACTTTGTCAGATTGCAACCACTCACCTTCACCAGGGTGTATTGACAGTGGCCATCAAATCTGTACCATTTGGAGTCAAAGGTGCGGTACTGCCCATTTCCAAACACCTCACATACTCCTGAGCATGCCTCATCAATACAAGACCACTCACCACCTCTACATGTGCTGCGAGACACAAAATCACATCATTCAAATTTAGTGGTCAGGTTTTCACTGAACCATGAACCAATAAAATGAGTTTTACTTCATTGTAATTTGGTAGGCCACGGTATCTCAAAGGATACAATCTTTAAGCGCTCAAATTTCATTCACACTTGTGATCCCTTAGAATCTTGAGGTGTCAAGTTGAAATATGTAAAGGCGGGAATGAGATTTGAGTGCCATAGTGGAGAGGAAGATTTTCAGTGAATATTATCTTAAAATTGTAAGATTTGAAATATATTACACAAGCTGAAAGGACTACTTTTATAATGATTTTGTTTTGCTGTCATTTTAAGAACTTAATAACCTCACTAAATATATCCTTTTAAACTCTATGGGTTTGGAATGACGTGAAGGTGGGTTAACTCTAATTATTCCTTTAAAATTTGTGAACCAAGGTCAGGGCTAGAAGACCGTTCTTACCATTTTTTACAGTTTGTCTCCACACTCTGCCCAGTTTCATACACTCTCCCGCTGAATTCACAGGTGCAGTTTTCATGAGTCACACAACCACCATTATGATCTTCAAAAAGGCCATCCGGACAATAACAGCCACTGATGCAGCTGTTGCCATCACTCTGTGAATAACATCAGCAATTTAACTCAGACCCTTGCAGAAAATGAACAGTATGAACAGCATATAGCAAGATGTCATAATGCCAAATTTGGAGAAAAAAAAAATGCTTACTACAGGTTTGGTCAAGCTTTCACATGTCCTATGGTCTGTGTTCACTGGTATTTGTGAGCAATCCACACAAATCTTTCCTACTGTGCAATCTAGAAAAGAGGAATAGAACATAATAGATATCTTTGGCACTGAATCTTAAAATTTCCAAATTCCAAGTTCACTAAAAAGTCACTAACTACACACTGCTCAAGTACACCCTACTACATACTACATACTATATACTACAGTATATGACTGGTTATTTTAACATAGTTTGATGAATTATGCATGCAGTAATATCTCAACATTACCACAACAGGCAAACAGGACTGATGTTTGTGGAAAAAAAAAATTCTGTAAATCTAAAAGTAAAACTTAAAAGTACACTAAAAATATATATATATATAAATACACACTAAAAGGCACTGGTTCAGTATTCTGTTGTTTAATGTTGTTATTTTTGTTGTTGTTTTTTTCCAAATGTAAAGAGATGATTTCACTTACTGCAAACTTCAGGACAATGAAGTTGTCCATTTTCACACAAGCTGTAATACAAAATGTACTCAACATAACATAAACATAACATAAACATTTTTTGAACTGAGTTGTTTTCACCCTTACCACTGGCGTCCACCGATAACCACTGGGCCTGGAGGTGTGACACCTCCAGGATGGTGGCAGCTGCACAGTGAACGAGGGCTGCAGGTCTGTTGGTTGCTCAGGTGAGAGTCTGATGTGCATCCACACCCCTCCACAGGGTCGTCCACCACCTCACAGGTGGGATCAGGGCCCGAGAGGGAACGGCAGGTATGGTTACATGCCAACGCTGCGTAAGCAAACCTCAGGTTGCCCATGCACAAAGGAACTGAAACCCGGAATGATATACAAAAATAAATAATAAAAAATAAGAAGAAATATATATATATATATATATATATATAATGTATGTGATGTTGTTACAGTGTAATTAGGCAAATAATTATTAGTAAAATGTAAATATATCACAAAAAATGGCAAAAAAAATTGGTTAATTGTGCTAAGGACGCGTTTTCAGCCATTTCGGGGGGAAAAAGTTGAAAATCAAAGATGCTGTTGCTGTAATGATGAGAGCTTTTTTTCCTTTCTTTCTTGTTTTTTAATTTTTATTTTTTTTATAATACCTCTGAGTTATCTGCAGCACCTACAGAAATACAATTGAAAACAATTAATTGAATAAAAGCTTGTCACTCACTGCAGTTTGTTTCTGATCTCCAGTCGCCAACAATGATTCCCTGAGTTGCACAGGCTTTTGCGTAGTTACCAAAGGAGACACACAAACATTCCTGTAATGCAGTCGAGCACTGACATGTTCTTTTCACACATGCCTGAGAAGAATCAGAAACAGATTAATAACAAGAAAACAACCATGAATTTCAAAATGATCAAATGTGTTTATGGATAGGAATATATCATTGCCTCGACATAGGGCGAAACAGGTACGTAATCATGACACACAGCAAACACTCCTTCTGGATCTGTCAGTTGGTCACAATTCTCCTCTGCAAATATCTCTTTAAATGGAATGAATATCAGTGGTTATCTTGGAAAATAACTTTGATATGGTTAAGCAGTTAGGCTAAATGACACTTACCATTTTCAGTGTTGATGCATCCAGTAATTAAGGTACAAGTGCCCATTGACCAGGACCGGGCAAAAAGCTGAACCGAACTTTCTATGATACCGCTAAAAGTAGTGAAGTCATCGCTTGTGTCATTATTAAAAGTTCCACAAAGACCTATAATAAAAGCACTTGCTTTAATAACAACATTCAAATTCGACTGACTCATTGAATTCTACTGTATATATAACTACATTTTGCTAAATTGCTGTATGTGCCTTGAGGTTGGCTTGCATGAATATAGATTATTCAAACCTTTGGTATTTGCGGTTGGCGGCAAATTCAGATATATTTGAATTTCTGGAGAGACTTGAACTTGCATTTTCAAGCCGAATGAAGTCTGAACTTGAATGAACATTGAAGACTGCCAAAAGACTGTGGTAGACTCTGAAACAAAAGCCAGTAACATAGCAATTTTGTAAAGCTAATGTTAATGTTTCAAACTTGTCAAGGTAATATGAATATTTCAAACTTATAAATCTAATATGACAAATTCTAAAAGAGCCTACCAGTCTGTGATAGGTCACTGATTTCTATGTTGTTCAGTTGTATGCTATTTGCAGAAAAAGTATATCTTTCCTGGAATTAAAACATCTTTAAGTTTATAGGGGAAGTGACACTGACGTCGGAAGGTGGTGAAAACCTGGTAACACTTTGCTTTAAGGTGACATAGTAACATGCACTTACTGTAAAAGTAGATTATGCATAATTACAATTAACTAGCCCTAAAAACTAAACCCTAATCCTAAACGTAACCCTATAGTAAGTACATGTAGTTGATTAATATTACTCAGGACTTATTTGTGTAATTAAACTCTAACAATGTCACTTTAAAATAAAGTGTAATCAAAAACCTTTCCAGTTACAGCATATAAAAACAGACACTTAAAATCTCTGCAAATTTGCCAGCAACACATACATACACATAGAAAACAACCTGCAAGTGCTGGTAAGGAAAATAGACAAACCTGGTTGATATTAAGATATGCCTTTTCTATGACAACACCTTGCTCAGAATACTGAATGTTCAATGTCCAGTTAAGCCCCTGGGTGACATGCCAAATATTAGACATTTTAATATCAGAAAATATCACATTGCAAAAAAAAAAATAGTGTTATATTCCATTTCAGTTACCCTTGCAGCCACAAAGGTGCATTTGTCTAGCATAGAATACTGTTTGCCGTCAAATGTAGTGATGAACTGGCCTTCAATAATACACTTGGCTGGACATGTGTTTCTAGAACATGCCCAATTTCCTCTGATGCAGGTACTGTGGGGATAAAAACACCAAAAAATGTGGTTTTCAAAATTTCTTTTTACACAGTTTCTATCAAAAGCTCACAATATTTACTTACATTTTTACGTACAAAAACGTTGTCTTTTGAAAAACCTTGCATGATTGTATGTTCTTGTATGATTACAACAGTAACAGTATACAGTAATACTTCAATAAAAAATATTTTAATACGTTTAAAATTGTTCAGAAAGGTGCTAAGTAAATTATTCAAATGAAAAATTCAAAAGTGTAACAATGGAATTATTTAAAATGTTGTTGGCAAATAATGACCATGTCCAGAATTGGTAAAGGAAAAAATATTACCAGGTCTGGCACTTTGTTCGGCGCTCCTGCCCTGGTGCATACATTATCTTTGCATGCACACATGGACATTCCTCCACATTTATGGAATGGTAACCATCAACACGATCATTCAGGACCTTCCCTGTGATTATGAGAGAGAGAGAGAGAGAGAGAGAAAATGTGATACAAAATAGATAGGAAATAAAAAGATAGTAAATAAAAGAGATATTCAATAAATACACAATTTTTTTATTTTATTTAATGCATCACTGGTTTGTTCAGTGAAGTGAAGTGAAGTGAAGTGAAGTGAAGTAAAGTAAAGTAAAAACATATTTCCCTTTTACTGCTAATCAAGGACCAACCTTCAGCAGGTAGGCAGGTGCTGGTGAGTTCTGTGGTATAATTATGTGGGTTGCTGCAGGTTGGGGGGAAAGCAGGACCCATCTCTACATAGTGCAAGTCTCCAGGACAGTGAGGTTGGTCTGCAAACAAGATAAATTATTAGTATTATTAATAACACTGTAATACATATAT